CTCAGAACACCCCCAACCCCCCAAAAAAACACACACACACACTCTCTCTCTCTCTCTCTCTCTATTAAGATTCTCTTTTTTAAGATTCTCTTTTTTCTGTTTAAGTTTAATTCAATATCTATATTATCGATAAAACAAAATTTAATAAAAGTTTTAAAGTTTTAAAATACTAAATAATCAAGATACCTTTTATATCACTTTTTCACTCATTCACCCCCTCATATACATTCACCCCCTCACATACACTCACCCCCTCACAAACGATTTTTTTATCTATACTATCTTATAAAACAAATTTAACAAAAGTCTTAAAGTCTTAAAATACTAAATGATCAATATACCCTTTATATCACTTTTTCACTCCTTCCTCTCCTCACATACACTCATCCCCTCACGTACACCCACTCTCTCACAACCGATTTTTTTAAAATTATAATTTTAAATTTACACTTTATACCTTTATAATTAGTTAATTAATTTACTTTATGTTTCTTTACTTTTAAATGTTTCATTTTAAACTTTTGTCAAATTAATACACATAATCGTATATCAATTAAAACATGTTTAAAAAATACATTTTTATTTTAACAAGTTACATCATTATAATCGTCTCGTTAATACCTTCGAAATGAGTTCAATATTGAATAATTTTTGACTTAATTATATTATTATATGTTATATATACTGTGAATAATATTTTTAATATTTACGATTTATACTTTTATAGTTATTTATTTATATATATACTATATATTTTGGGGTTAGGCTGTCCAAATTGCATTATATAATATGTTCTGAATTAATATGTTTTTGGGTTTTTTGAAATATATATATATACATGTATTAATTCAACTTAATCTGAGTTTCTGGACAAGAAAAATGGTAAGCAGTTGAAATTTCATTCTAAAACCCTTCTTTTTGGTCTTTTTCATGGCTTATGATCTGTCAAATTTATAGTTTTCTTTATTGGTTTTGAGTGTTTATCTTAAAACTCAAGTTTTTTGGTTCTTTGCTCTTGGTGTAAATCGAACACATTTGTGGAGTCGTTTAAATATATTGGATTTTAAACTGTCATACAATTTTTTTTCATCGATAGTCTGTAATTGGAACCATAACTCTTGTTTATTCAAATTATATTAATATGTAAAAACCAAGTGTAACATATATCATCGTTAAATCTTATCTTATAAAACCAGTGGAACTTCAAAATCGTTAAAATTCATGGCTCCCGCCGCATTGCGTTAGTACACAACTAGTTTTCTCATATAATTCATCTATAACGAGAATAAATTTTCATTTTCCCCTCTTCAGTTTAATTTGGAATGAAAATTTGGGTTTATGGGAAAATGAGCTCATTATATTATATAATACCAACCAGTTTTTTTTTTTTTTTTTCATTCTCATTGATTAGCTTAATACCTCTAACCAAACAACCCCTTATTTTAGAAACAAAATATTCTGAGGCTGTTTGACAATTGCTAAATGGTTTGGTGCAGAATGATTAGAAGACTCTCATGATATAGTGCAAAATGAAATATAATTGCTTAGTAATTGTGTACAATGAAATTAGGGCTCTTAATGATTAAGGGAGATCCAGAATACAAAATCATTCAGAGTATTTTAAACCATTAAGAGGCAAACCCTTTTTTACCCAACAAGATTCACCTCTTAACGATTCAAATATTACCTATTAATAGAACTATTACCTCTCTTAAAAATGCTCTTAAAACCTCTCTATACTTTTTGATTTTGAGAACACGTAATTTGCTGAAACATAAATTTTGGACATCATTTTTCAATAAAAATTGTATTAATTTTGCATTCGCATTCGCCAGTTACAACAAAATCTCAATATTTCGTTGTCTGAATCCCGAACCTAGTTTCCATGTTTTGTCGAACCCTTATTTTACTTATCGGTTTGTCCTCCCATAGCTGTCCACACCATCACAATAAATGCACTCTCTCCTTCTTCCCAGTCTCCCCACATCAGTCGTCAATTTCTTTCCATCATTTCTCCCAATTAATCGACCATGGTGGAAAAAGGAAACCAACAAACTGGCTCACCGGTCTCCGATGAGACTAAAAACTCCCTTTTCCGCTATAATTCCCCTTTAATTCAAGTGGGCTTGATCGGATTAGTCTGTTTCTGCTGCCCTGGCATGTTCAATGCCTTATCCGGCATGGGCGGCGGTGGTCAGGTTGATCACACCGCCGTAAACAACGCTAACACAGCCCTCTACACCACCTTCGCCATCTTCGGCATCCTCGGCGGCGGTATCTACAACATCCTTGGCCCCCGCCTCACCCTCTTCGCCGGCTGCTCCACTTACATCCTCTACGCCGGATCCTTCCTCTACTACAACCACTACAAAGACCAAACCTTCGCTATCGTCGCCGGAGCCATACTCGGAATCGGCGCCGGTCTTCTCTGGGCCGGCCAGGGGGCTATTATGACCTCATACCCTCCAACCGCCCGTAAAGGAACCTACATCTCTATGTTCTGGAGCATATTTAACATGGGCGGTGTCATCGGCGGTCTGATACCATTCATAATGAATTACGACCGTAAAGGTGCGGTTTCCGTCAACGACGGCACGTATGTCGGGTTCATGATTTTTATGACGATCGGAACCGTACTGGCTCTATCGATTTTACACCCCAGTAAAGTGATTCGAAACGATGGATCTCGTTGCACCAACATGAAGTATTCCAACGTGTTCACAGAAGCCGTCGAAATCGGAAAACTCTTCCTGAACTGGAAAATGCTGTTGATTGTTCCGGCGGCATGGGCGAGTAACTTCTTCTACACTTATCAATTCAATAACGTGAACGGAGCCCTTTTTACTGTTAGAACCAGAGGATTAAACAACGTGTTCTATTGGGGAGCCCAGATGATTGGCTCGGTGATGATTGGTCACATTATGGATTTCAGCTTCAAAAGCAGGAGGACAAGGGGACTAGCCGGAATCGGATTGGTGGCAGTTCTCGGCACCGGAATCTGGATCGGTGGGCTTTTTAACCAGAGGGGTTATAACCACTTGGATGTGAAGGAGAAGACGGTGAAGATTCTTGATTTCAAAAGCTCGGGAAGTGATTTTGCAGGGCCATTTGTGCTTTATTTCAGTTACGGTCTATTAGATGCAATGTTCCAGAGCATGGTTTATTGGGTTATTGGTAGTTTGGCTAACGATTCCGCCATTCTTAGCAGGTATTTACAGTAATTCAGTTGTTGATTTTTAATTCAGATGATAGAGTTGCAGAAAGGTTTGGTGATGATGTTTTTGGTGTTGCAGATATGTTGGGTTCTACAAGGGGATACAGAGTGCAGGAGCAGCAGTTTCTTGGCAAATCGATAAGCATAATGTGTCGTATATGAAGCAATTGATAGTGAATTGGGTGCTTACAACTGCAAGTTATCCATTGTTGATTCTTCTGGTCATAAAAGCTATAAAAGATGAAGATGAAGTTAAAGAAGTTGAAGATGAAGCGGTAGAAGAAGAGTCAAAGTCACAGGACAATATTTTAACGGTGGATTAAAGAAACCAAGTTAAGAAGAAAGAAGATTGTTTCTCTTGTTTTTTCTTAACATTTATGTGTGTAAAATTTGATTATTTTGTAGTGTATAGCAAAATTGTCATCATTCTCATCTAAGTTTTCACTTTAATTCACCGTAATTTCTCATTCTCATTGTGTCATGTCATCAATTTAACGTCTTGTTTTATAATTTATATCGATCGTTCATGACTCTAATTTTCACTTTATATTGCTCTTGAAGGCATGAATGATGAATCAGAAAGATTGAACCTGGTGCATATATATGGTATGTTATTCATCATAAAGCATGATAATTTAAATGAAAGGGGTTAGGAACCATTTAGATGCAATGGAGTTGTGATGCACAAGTGAACATGCTCCTAGTTGAATCCCCCACCAGTTTCGTATTTAGGAGCTGTTTACCAAACACTTATCCGGTAAAATTTAACACTATCATTTACTTACCGGGTAAGAATTTAATCAACCAAAATGATATCACATCCAATAATTTACCAGGTAAGCGTTTATCGTGGTAAGAGTCGTTGCCCTCACTTACATGGTAAGACTCTTGGTTCTTGTCTCGCTCTTACCAGGTAAGATCTTTGGTCCTTACTATTCATCCGATAAGATAATGTGATTTGGTGTTTACTTACCCGAGTAAGCGTTTAGTAAACGGCTCCTTAGACTTTTTAACATCAAATTTTTATTTTACATTTTCAAAATTTATGATTATACCCAAAAGAGTTTAAATAGAGGTGCATAAGAATCGGATCTTAAATTCTTAATCGGTTCTTAAAAACCGCTGATTTTATTTTTAGGACTAGGCCTAAAAAAAGACCTTGTCGGACCTTAGCAACTCATTGTCTGTAACCAAATCTAGACCTTGGTCCTTAACCGATCCTGATCGATTCCTTTGATATCTTAGAGAAAATAACAAATAATACATATAAGAATGAAGTGGACAAAATTATTTTAAAAAATATCTTGGATTTTTCATTTAATTGTAAACTAATTATTCATAAAAAAATAAAAAATAATTAAATTATGACATTGTAAACTAATTATGTTTTTCGCATCTTCAATTTGAATCTCTTTTATGTTTGTCAGCTTGAATATTTTCATATCCTTCATCACTTTTAGCTTTTCTTAACTAATCAAATTGTGTAGCGTTAAGGCGTAAGGCATTCGGAATTTTTTTAAATAAACACGGACTCCATTTGTGTTCCATGTTGAATTTAGAGTCGAGCCATACGGAGAAAAAAGGAGGAATATCTTTAAAGTATTTTATAATTTTTTTTCTTGCATTAATTTTACTATAGATGACCATATGTTATTGTTTTAATTTCTGAGTCCTATAAATAGTTGGGTAAAAGCAACATGGGTTGACCGGTTTATTCGAGATTTGAGTGGACAAGTTTTGGTTCCAGGTTCAAAATTTATGACCAAAACATGTTTCCTCCTATAACCGATCCTTAGGTTGGACCGTTTTTAGCCGGTTCTTTTTAAGACCGATCATCGGTCCATCGATCCAAAATCAACTAGCAGGTCTTTGAACGTCTCTACGTTCAAATAGCATCACCCTAAACAAACGCATGACATAAATGATACATGACTATAACTTTGGGAGGTTTGAAAGATGCAAAGATGATTGAAATTGCAGAAGAGATGGATTTGGTGAGGGGTTGCATGGTCTACGTTAAGGTCTTAAGGATGCTAAAAAATCAATTTTGGAGGAGAGGTGTCGATAAGAAATCAATGTCCGGCGAATCAGGCACTATGATGATGAAGTTGGTTTAGTTTAAAAAGCAACGAGCTTGTGGCAACGAAGGCAGTTATCAACGATGACAACGTTGCAGTTGCTAAGAGCCCGAGACGATAATGATGGCCATGTGGGGAGAGAGAGAGAGAGAACACGAGAGCTAGGATTTGTTAAGAAAGAAACAGATAGGGGTCACTTTAGGATTTTTGGCCGTAGATTGGAGTTAACATAAACTTGGTTGTTCATCGGTCAACGTTTGTGGTTTAGTAAGAGGTTTTGATAAACAACTAGGCTTCTTTAAGTTAGTGTGTTTGGTATGCAGAGGACAACAAAGAACAGAAGAAGAACCATCAGATTAAGTGCATTCTTTGTCTCGTTGTAATACACGAAAGTGGAAAAATAAAACAAAGTGGATGATACTAAATAGCGAAATTACTATACTACCTATACATATAAAGGGAGGATTAATGTAAGAATGACAATTAATTTGAGAACCATGAAACTAATCTTATAATGTGTATTCATTGGTAAATATACATTGTATAAGTTTCAACAATGATCATACACTAAAAAGTTAGTTCTATGACTCTCAAAATTTTGTGGTTATCATTTGTATCGGAATATATATAATAAGAATCACAAAAAGATTATAAACTTGTCAAAACGGATACAAAAATATTTTTTACAAGATTTTTTTCATCAAATGTTATGATTTAAGATACTGTTCCGCATATGTTTATGTTCACATGATGACAATAATACATGTGGAAAAAAAAATTGGTTCACGTAATGAAACAAAAGCCACACGGTTAAAAAGTTTCACATTGTAAACAAATACATTTGAAATTATCACGTTATTAAACATTACACTAGATCCTAGCATTAGATGGAAAAAAATCATGTAAAACATATTTTTAAATCGGCTCTCATGGGTTTATAACTTTTTTTGTGGTTCTCATTTTTTGATTTGCTCTCTCTCTCTCTCTCTCTCTCTCTATATATATATATATATGTGTGTGTGTGTGTGTGTGTGTGTATGTGTGTGTGTAGACTTGGGATCATATGAGACCAATGTTTTTTCGTGAGACCCGTAAGACAATTCTCAACCCTTGGATTAGATTTATAATCTCAACATTCTTAATCACAAAATTTGCCAAGAGAGTTCTCAATAATTACAAAATTACCACCGTGCAACTTTAAACCATTAGATCATTAGTTTATAAAGTTGATCAATGAACATAAATTGGTCTCACGGGTCTCACGAAAAACTCTTGGTCTCACGTGAACCCAACCCTGTGTATGTGTGTGTGTGTATATATATATATATATATATATATATATATATAGGGTATATTTCAAATGCAACCATGTTCATTTGTACAACCAATGCAACTCAATCAATTGAGATATTTATGAAAATGATGAGAGTTCATTTATTATGATTTGAATATTTATGGAAGATAACTAGAGTTCATTAATTATGATCAATACTTTATATTAGRAAACAATCGAAACTTTTATGAAATCATATATTTATCAAATTAAATGAATGGTTGAGATTGAGTTGTATTGGTTGTACAAATATAAAGAGTTGCATAATAATTCACTTGTATATATATATATATGGGGTTCAAATGAGAAGACCAATTTTGTTGATAATGTGAGAAGATATCTAAAACATTAGATGAGATTTTCAATCATCATGATCTTAAGGGAAAATATATATATACTACCTTATAAATTAGATTTATCAAAAGTCTTTAAAACAATTTTTAATGCATAAAGTACTATACATTTATGCACAAAGTCTTAAAAACAACTCATAATGWATTAAGTACTACTACTTTATGCATTCAATTTTAAAATCTCTTAATCTACAATTAAAATAACATATAGTACAAGCATGCACATTATTATCTTTTCTTTTCATGTTCTCAATATACTTTTGACATTTTTCACCCATGCCTTCACCCTCTCATACCTCTATGTCTTCTCCACATCCCCCAAGGTGAGATTCAAAAATGATATTCACCATGACTTATTAAAAGTTCTCTCATACATCTCTCATTCAATTGCTCTACAACTCCCGATATCGCTCTCGATCTCTTGATTCTTTGCTCTTGGTGTAAATCGAACACATTTGTGGAGTCGTTTAAATATGTTGAATTTTAAATATATTGGATTTTAAACTGTCATACAATTTTTCATCAATAGACTGTAATTGGAACCATAACTCTTATTTATTCAAATTGTATTAATATTAAAGACTAAGTGTAACTTATATCATCGTTAAATCTTCTCTAATAAAACCAGAGGCACTTCAAAATCGTTAAAATTAATGGCTCTCGCCACATTACATAGATATACAACTAGTGTAAATATAAAGAAAAATTACTAATTCAAAATAACCAAAGTTAGTTGAGATGTGCATTTTGAAACTTTTATATAATTAAATCACTAATGCACTTCTTTGTGAAAAAATTTACCCACTTTCTTTTTTAAATAAAAGTTAGGTTACCTATTTTCTTTTAAATTAAATCATCTAAAATATTGTCATTATTTTATTTATTAAATCATATAATATTCACATTTGAATCTTAAACTGGTTGATGAGAATCTCGATTATACATTGTAAAATGATTCATATACAAGCTATAATTAAGATTCACATGTGAATCTATGTTATGATTCACGTATTCATATGAATCTTAAACTGGTTCAAAGTCTTGGGTATGAATTTAATATTGATTCACGTACAAGTTATGATTTAGAGTTATATGTGAATCTATGTTAGGATTCACATTTTCACATTTGAATCAATGCAAAATATATATGTTCTTTGTTTACATATGAGATTTAGGCATATAAGATTTAATTCAATTTGTAAGTTGTAAAATCATCAATGATCCTAAAGTGGAAAATTAGATAAAAATCAATGATTATCAATATTCAAAAATGTTATAGAAAAAATAAAAGATAAATTTAGATATTTGGATTTTGATAATGGTTATCTTGATTAGTTGAAAAAAACATGGAAATAAAAATTTTAAATTGATGGTTGAGATTGTTTATCTCATTCTCATTGTTAATTAAAATCTTGAAGAACACAACCATACTCCCTCTTAGAAATCGAAAGGTTTGTAACTGTTGAACAGAAGTCTTTGGAGGTTGTGTTAGCTTAAAATTATGGGTGTTTGTGGTTCGGTTTAGACAGTTTAATTCCTCAAATTATAAATCAAATCGTAATGAAGGCTTAGGAAATACCCTAAACCGAGTGGCTTGGCAGCAAGTGGCCAAATCGGTTAAACCGGAGTACAAAAAGACAGTTTGTTTTGACATGCTTAGATGGTTTGGGCCTCTTGTAGGTCTTAAATTAAAAAAAACACAATATCAATATCCAAAATGAAATTTCTACCAATAT